TCTAATAATCAACTAATAAATAACTCTCTCTTTTTCATGACATTAATGTATAAAAACACTGATAATAACAAATAGGATATAATTTATCAAATATATTGTTATATCAATATTTTCTAAGATTATTTGTTATAACATATTTTTATAATTCTATCGTAGGCCATCAATGGCAGTCATCATGAACTAGATTATTTACAATAAACTCATAATTATGTCAATAAAATATTTTAAAACTAACAAAATTTTTAAAAAAAATACAAAAGTAATATATAGAATGTAAACTGTAACATTATTTACCTAACTTATAAAAAATATATGGTACAAAAACCGCCTTATTTTGAGGTTATTAATCCAATCCTTAAAATTTTTATAAATTACTTAATATACGATTAATTTAAATAGCAAATTAAATAGGTTCAAAGTCACCGACGGCTACGTCTGTGTACTGGGGTTTTGGGCGCTCAAAGAACCGGCCGTCGGGGCCGAGAAGTACGCTGGGTTTGGCCGGTGCCGGCAGTGTTGCCTCCCTGTACTCCCCGTGACCCTGGGCGTCGTAGAAACGACCCTGACCCCACGATTTGATGGTCACCTTGCCACCGTCCAGTACTGTAGTGCCATCTGGTCGCGCTACCGCTTTGGGACAGTTGAATAGCTCGACATTGTCCAAGATCAATGTGCCGGCCGATGCGGGCTGACTCGCGGCCGTGTTTACGGTCAACACACCGATGGATGTGTTGACTATTTTTGAGTCCATTAATAGCATTGACCCGATTTGTTGCTGTTTGGTTTTGTCAGTGAGCGAGGTTATATCGATTGCTATCAAGGTAAATTAAAATATAATTTTTATTTGCTAAAAAATACAACAAATGAGTGTATAACCAAATTACATATAAATACGTAAGTTTTTTAACCTAATGTGAAGTGTGTTAATATTTACAGTTTATTGTAACGATTTATTTAGTAATTATACTTTTAATATTCATTGAATCACATATAATTAATTATGTGTTTGTGTGTGAACTTATTTTTGTTAAATAATTGTTGCTAGATATAATCAATTAAAAATAACTTTCTCTCTCTTGACATTAATATATAAAAACACTGATAATGACAAATAGGATATAATTTATCAAATATATTGCTATATCAATATTTTCTAAGATTATTATGAGCCATTAATGACAGACTATCATGAATTAGATTATATGCAATAAACTCATAATTATGTCAATAAAATATTTTAAAACTAACAAAATTGTTAAAAAAGTTGCTAAAATAATATATAGTGTGAAAACTGTAACATTATTCAACTAACTTATAAAAAATATATGGTATAAAAACAGCCTTATTTTGAGGTCATAATTATAATAATTTGTTTTTGTGAAGTTATAATAATAATTGAAATTTTTAGAAATTGCTTAATATAAAATTAATTTAAATAACTAGTTTATTTTAATTAGTTTCCTATTACTTTTGTCAGCTTGCAATTATTGTAGCACATTGCATTATTATTTAATAATTATTTAAATTTAATTATTCACATACAGACATAAAACTTGTAGATCAATTAAAAAATACAACATACCTGTTTTGCAATTTTCCACTGTAAGACCTTTGAACGTCCATGCCCACACCCACTTCATAAACACCGCGGTATCGGCCTCGGTAATAACAACATTGCGCGTGGTAAACTGCTGATTACCAATCCACATACCAAACTTACCACCATGAAAGGTCAAATCGGACATATAACCACCCGAGCCATTTTCCATCCACAGACCTTGCTGATTATTGCCGGGTTGGGTACTCATTTTAACATGCACATTTGTAATACTAGTCGCCTGTGCCACCTGCCAATGTATGGCCGTCGCCTCCTTGTTCAGCGGCCCTTTGGTCAGGTCGATGACAAAGTTACGTATCTCTCGGTAAAAGTTGTTGGTCTGCGGCCAATACGGAGTGTCCCCGCCTTCGTAGTAATTGTCCGACGCGATCAACGCGTGCACATTATCGCCGTCAAAGTTGGGCGCCATAATCAGCTCCGGGAGGTTAATGGGATCGCCAATGAATTGTGTGTAATAGTATTGCAGCAATGAGTGGGCGATCAGGTATTTTCCCGGCGGGAAGTATACGATGGCCGGCGAAATGGTGGCCGAACCGCACCCTTTGCCGCATCGGTCGCCTTCGCTGATGGCCAGGTTGATGGCGGCCGAGTCGTCGGTAACGCCGTCCCCTTTGGCCCCGTAGTCGCGGACATTGCGATACACTTTGTATTTCGTGGGGTTTGGGTTGAATGGCGCCAACTCTTCGTGTTTGAGCGCCGATAGCCAGTGAGTGGTCTGCGGGCTGTGAGGCAGTGAATGGCCGCCACAACTCGGCCCGAGTGCTTGGGTTGGGTGTTGGCTCAGGTATGCCAATAGGCATACTGTTAACGTGGCTTTAAACATGATAATAATACTAGTAATAAGTTTATTACAATTATTATTATATTATTTATTGCTGTAATTATTAGTTAATATATCGATTCCTTATATACTCGTTATATACCCTATTGTAGTGTTGGTAACCCTAATCATTGATTAGCAATCATTAATTGTTTTACCCCACCTGTGCTGTTGCTGATGTTCTGAAGTTTAATGTATGTTATCGTGATAATTATCAAACCAATAAGCTATTATTAAGGATTTTATAGTTTTGCAATAAATTTATTAATAATATCATTTATTTATATTTGTTTTTATAAATATATATTCTTAATAAAAAAAGACAGAAATCTAATTCAATTGTGATGTTATATGTTTCAATTGTTGCATTGTTGGTTTAATAGCTTTGTAACTTAATTAGCATGTTTATATCAAAATATTACATATAATAATGCCCGAAAGCTATCAAACTATTAAAATAAACAGTTAAATATTATTAAGATTATTAATATCAGTATTTCTACCTTGATCATCATTGGTGTTACAGTACAAATTACGTACAATTGTTATAATCCTGGTATCCTGGATAATATAGTAAATGTAATTGTTAAAAGAAAGTGGTAACTAAAATTTAAATACGTATAATCATATACAGTCAAATACCTTTCCTGTCAACTATCGATGCTGTCAACTACTCTATGTTATCAACCAATTCCCAAATCCGTACCACATAGACCTAATGTTAAAATTATCTCTATGTTGTCAACTAATCTATGTTATCAACCAAATCCCAGGAACCGTTCTGTTGACAGCATCGATAGTTGACTGTAATATAAATACTATAGTATACACACGGATATCATGTACCCTAATTGAATAACATGTTATGTTGGTGATAATTAATTATCCTTATCCACCAAATATTGGATTTAAACTTAATTATGATTATTATCAATCAAACCAATACGAAATATCTAGTACAAATATTAAGTGTACAATAGATAATCTAGATTTATTTAAAAATATTATGTTTACTACAATAAATACTACAGCATATGTACATAGAATGTATATTTAGATATTTTTAAGATACCTCGTCGAGTTTGTTAATTAATTAAGATAATTAAATATCATGTAAACATAAAAATAATAGAGCAATGTGATTTGAATGCATCATCTATAAACTCAAACATAATAATATGTTATTATGTGTTTATATAACTAATTTTACCTTGATCAGTATTTTATTGCACAGTGTACCAAGGCGGCCTCTCGCATGTACCGGGTAAAAGTGCAATAAATATTACACTAAATGTCCAAGGTTAAATGATTATACCGTTTTATGAGTAGTATAGCGTCCATAATTGTAAGTGAGTTGTTACATATTTTTAAATGTATAATTAATTTGCTTTTAAAAATAAATTATTTAGTGGCAGGATCAGCATAAACAAATTATAAACCACAACTACCTATAAAAATTACATACTTTTATCAACTGTAACTTTAATTAATTAAGTATAATTGACAATACTAAAACTCGGTAAAAATATTCTGTGGTTAGGATAAGAAATAAACTTTAAAAATTGTTTATAAATAAATTTTATTTTTTTGTTAATAATATTTGCATTTGTAATAATTAAATTTTGATTGCCAAAAATTTATAATTATCTTTTTTAATAAATACTTACAAATTAAAAAATTTAACAAACACATTATGTTAAAAAATTATATTGTTTAAATTTATTAGTTGTTTTATAAATATGTAAAAACATTGTCTCATGAATATTTTTATATATAAAGATTTAGATTTACTTTAGATTTACTTCAATTTAATTTTACTATAATGTTATAGAATTTTTAAAACATGGTAAAAACTAATTAAAACAAGGAAATTCTGCTCAGCTGGATTGTTATCATTAGATAATATGTTGGTAAATGTCCATGTATGTAAGTAATATACAAATTAATAAAATTATAATCTAAAATACATTTTCTTAACAATAGTTTACTTTAATCATGTTGTTTAAATATTAAATAAAAAGTTTGTTATGTATAGTTTGTTATATAATGTATGCTACAATATTTAATGTTAAACAAATTAAGTAACTATTTATACAAACTGTATTTAAAGTTTAAAATCATATGTAAACTATACGAAATGAAAAATCATTATAATTATTGGGATAAGGACTCTATTAATTAATAACTAAACTGGTATATTTCTATGTTTAAATTTATATTTGAATATATTAATTAGTTAATTACTCTTTTTAAAGTATACCCAAGAAACAAAAACTAATCTGTATTTACTGTTTAATTAATTAATTAATTTTATTTAATACACACTTTTTATTTACATTAAAACTAGACATTATTGATTAAGTTGCTGTAAATTTTATAAATATCTATTTTAATAAATCTTATTGCATTAATTTCTTGACAGCAATTAATTATTATTATAAATATGCAATAACACAAAATTCTGAAATATTTAATATATAAATTTTATAAATTCAGAAAATATTATATTTTAAATATTTTTTGAATCATTAATTATACAGATCTATATGTTGCTTTCAAATTAAAAATTATTATCGAATTTTTAAAATAATAATATATTTCATTATTGTATAGTCAGTAATTATAGTTAACAATCACGCTATTTTAATTTTTATGCCAATATAAGATATAAAATTATGCCAATATTATATTTAGTTTGTAATGTATTTTTTGATAGTAGATAATGTATATTATATCTATATTATATAATATTAGAATATTATTTTTTACCAACATTAAATTATCTAAATTAAGTTAATGAATTTGTATTAATATAAATAATTACATATCATAAACAATTTTATTTAAATAATTTTAAAATTAAAATAAATAGTATATTTAAATTAAATTTTACGCAGTATTAACAAACAAAAATGTCCATCATATTTCACATTATCACAGAAGTTTATAGATTTGTAAAATTTATATTGCATTACGTTTACAATAGTTTAACCACGCACGTATTAAATCTAGGTTATCGTAAATGGAAAGACATTGCTAACGATATAATTAACAAATATTCTGGAGAAGCACATGATATCGGACTTGAATTGAGTCAAATTGAGTTCTACATAAAATATATTTATTTTACCCTGGGCGAAACTATTTACGATACAGTATACAGACGCTATACTCGGTGGAGATTAACCAAATTCATCGTGGCACGATTGTGCTTGATTTATACTATATTATATTTTATGTTGTTTACATATGCAACACACCCGGCGGTAAAGCCATATATATTCAACTCACATTATTACATGGGAGATAAAGTTCTAGGTGGTACATTTATTATTATTTGCATGATTTCTACTGCATCTGTCGAATGGTTCAGTTTTTACCATGAACAATCTGGATCGTATGCTGTAATCAATTTTATTTATCATGTGCAAACAAACCGATTATTATACAGGCTACATGACCAAAATTCGCATCGCATTGCTATTGGACTGTATGTAATTCGTAAAATTGTGCTAGCCAAATTGTATCCTATTATAGTTGTTTTTACATGGACAATTAGCGCCATTATGTTAGTTTTTGATTTATATAAATCGTTTAGCATATTAAAAGCGTTACTCCACCTTGGTAACTTTATTATATTTATACCAGCAATTATTGAAAATTTTGGAATATATTACATATTAGTGTATAAATTATACTTAATTTCAAAATATATAAACCTGAAATTTAATGAAATAAATGAAAAAATTTTCACTAGCGTTAAACGTAATGACCACAAACTAATAATGGCAACCATTCGTGAGCACAACTATTGGGAACAACAGACGCGGGTTATCAACCGTACGATAAAGTCGTGGATTTTTATTTTTTATTATATCACTTCGTGTGGTATAGAAATGACCCTGTATTTAACCCACAAATCCGACTCAACGTTATATGGTAGATTATTGGCTGGTTTATGCATGGTGATTAACTTGGTATTTTTTGCAACATTTACAAAACTAATCATAGGCATAGTCCGGATCGCACACAAGCCGTACCCACTGTTGGCCTCGTATTTGTGCCGTCCGTGTCGTCCACCGATAGGTCTGTCGGTTAGGAATCGGCTAAAAGTGCAGAGATTTGCGGAGCGTTTGTCAATCGGACCCACAATTGGTATCTATTGTTACAATTTGTTTCCCATTAATGCCGAAGAAGTTTATGCTTTCCTTTTAATCGCTGGCAGTAATTATTTACTGTTAATTTCATTGTTTTAATTATATATAATTAATTTTGTTATAGGTTCTACTTAATCTTTAGAGTATTTTTTTCCATGTATTTAAACAAAATACTAGTCAATAGCGCTGTGTTCTGCTCGATAATTGCTACAATTTTTAATTAAAGATTATAACATTCATAAATACATTATTTCTCTCAAATTGATTGTAATCAAATAAATAGATAATTATTTGTGTAATTAATTTTGCATTTAATTATATAAATATAGATAAATTTACGAAAACGGTAATTAATATTTACAAAAAATATTTATTATTATCAATACGAACTATCTATAATAGTAAAAATATTAATTGTACAATAAATAATCTACATACATTTAAAAATATTATGATTACTACAATAAAAACTAAAGCATATGTACATATAATTTATATTTAAATATCTAAATATTTTTATTATACCTCGTCGAGTTTGTTAATTTGTTAAGATTATTAAATATCATGTAAATATAAAAATAATAGAGCAATGTAATTTTAATGTATCATCTATAAAATCAAACAGAATAATATGTTAATATCCGTTTATATAGCTAACTTTACCTTGATTAGTATTTTATTGCACAGTGTGCCAAGACGGTTTTTACCGTTTCATTAGTTACATTATAATAGTTATAGTGTAAGTGCATATAGATTTTAATGTATAGATAATGTTTGTTTTATCAATTACTTATTTGCAGGAATAGTCTTAACGAATTATAAAATAAATCTTGTTGTAAATCACATATTTTTATCAACTGTAATTTTAATTAATTATATACAATTGACTATACATAAAACTTAGTAAAAATATTATATGGCTATAAAATGAATATATTTTTTAAGCATTCATAATTAAATTTAATTATCAAATTATTTTTTTGTTAATAATATCTGTAATTGTAATAATCAAATATTTATAACCTGAAATATAAATATTTAACAAATAATAGGGCAGTCAAGTGATTCCCGCCGTGCGGTAATTGATGCCATTCTTTAATGAAATGAGATAATTTAATTCTGTAAAATGGATTTAAGAGCCTCATATACTGCGCATCTGCAGCATA